CCTGCAGCGTCCAAATAAAGAGACGGCTCGAGAAGGGAGGTTTGCTTGCTTTGCTTGCTTTCCGGTCTGTTTCCATTCGTATTCTCGAGTGCGAAATGGTGTCGTGGAATTTTTTCGATACGACTCGATAAAATGTGAAAAAAGAATTTCGGCTAATTCCAAGATTATATTCAATAATTTTTCAAGTATTCGATACGTTTAAATAATTAAGATTCGAGAATAGATAATTGTGACGAACGAAAACACGATTTTATTGTTCAAATATTTGCGATAAAAGGACAGGTAACATCATTTGATTGGAATATTAAACGTCCTTTTAGAACGGAAGCCAAGAAAAGAAATTCATGTTCAAGAAGGAATTGTGATAAAACGAGGACAAGTTATATAATATTATGCACATGTAACAATCGTAAAAAATTTGCTTGAATTGCGTCCCTTGTAAAGTAAATTTTTTATTCGAAAAAGTATAATTATATATATAAAAGTATATATTTGTATATGTGCGTAATAAAGTGCAGTGAAGTTTATAGAGTATTTTTGTGTACAAAAAAATCATGCTAAGAGAAGTAATTATATATGTTGTCAGAATCATGCTAAACATATATTAGGCATACTTGTTTTAAATATGTAAATTATTTTAAGTGAAAGAAAAATTATTTGTTTAAATAAAATATTTATCTTATTAATGAAAATAATTAAATCTCGATTCAAACAATTTTAATTAATGAAATTATTTCAAATAACTAGACTAATTCCTTTTCTCCTTTATAAATATTAAAAAATATCTTCTCATTATCATATAAAAATATCATTATCGTATTAACAGCGATAATTCGATATATAATTATACTGAATGAACGTTGTATTAATCTGTATTAATCTGTAACTGATCAAATTTCGAGTAGAAAATGCTACAATTCATTAAAAACATCTCAATATATTTTGATAAAAATATCTAAAATCTATTTTCACTTTTAGCTTAAATCAAATTAAATCCAAAATATTTTCTACATAACATTGAATTATCAAACAATCGCTATTATCAGTATATCATCACAGAATTCGCAATAGTAAATTATGTATATGTAGTTTGATATATACATATACGTTACGTTACATACAATTATGTTAGGTGAGCAATACAATATTAATTGCAACCGATCAAACTTCAATAGAGAATGATATAATTCATCGATCTCGATAGCATCTCGATATATGTGTGAAAGATAAGAATATCCAAAATCCTTTTTCTCTTTTAATCTAAATCAAAGAGTCACTCTTTTCTTCTTTTCTGCTCCATATTTGTCAGATATTTCAGTATTAATAATACGACAACGTCATTAAGAAATTCGAAATAATAAATATCGAGATTATCTCTGATAAATATATATATATTCACTTATGCTAAGTGAACAACGGATTATTAATTGCAATGAAATCACTAAGAGAGAATGGCACACGTGTTCGTTATTATCGAACATGTACACGCATGCATAGTAAAAGATGCATCTCTCGATCGCGTATGATAATGAATTTCTGGGACAAGCAGGTTGCGCTAATGAAAATGCTTGGAAACTCGGCATCAAACGGACGCGGTTGAATCGTACTCTCTTCTCCTCGGACACCAGGTTGGAAACATCGAATCCAACCAATGGTTGAATTCCTCGCGTAAAAGGGACCGTACGCGTGCATTCGTGAGTTTCAATGGCTTTCATCGGTTCCTTCGAGCATGCCGCTTGTCCTCTTCCATAATGGATATCATTCTCTCCAGACTGTTCCCGGTTTCGAATGCTTTATACACATATTGAACGAGTTGACTGCGTTCACAATTCAATACATTTGATTCGATGTTTTTCATCCAAGGATCAAATTATCGACACGAGATACCGATACGAAAGAAAACCATTATATACTGACTTGTCGAACATTGTGAAAGTATATTCTAGAAGTATAAACTATAGTGTCGGTGGTAACTTTAGAAGAATAGGATACTAGTGTAGCCCTCTAGTGATAATTTAACACAATTCACTTAGGGCTAATCGACATTGTATGTATTCTTTGAAAAATGATTTTGAAGCTCGGGTTTACTGTGTGATCAATAGTTAATGGTACAGTTTTGATGAAGTTTAGTTGGATTTGTGCTGTTTGAATTACAAAAGTTTCATTAATTTTGCGTATCATTCCGTATGTTGTCTATACGAATATCGAAAATATGGTTAATCTTAGACGTGACTTGATCTTTAATAAATTGTGAAGAATACTTCGTTTACGAAACAATTTTTTATTTTTATTAAAATTGAAAGTTACTAAATATATTGAATCTATTTATATTTGAATTGAATGATTCGTAACTTTAGATTAGCAACATGTTTATTCGATCAGATACGAAGTTTAACGGTCTAACAACTAATCGATCTACGTGTCTAAACAAACGTGAACTAACCAAAGTCGATAACTCGACAAACCACAGCCACGTGTAAAGTGAAACTTTAATACGATGACCGTAATATCGCCCGCTATAAACCGCAGTTCTAACGTTTCCACATTTTCCGCCTTAGTAGATAACCTATCAGAATGCATAACTGAACAATTAATCTAAACGATCTATAGCCAATATACAGAAACATTTATAACAATAAATACTAAACAATACATTATTCTCTTCATTGAACTAAAATCTTTTCTTAATATCTTCAAATATTTTCAGTTTCTACAATTAGATAAAAGTTAAAAACAAAATTACAAAACATTATTTTAAAATATAATAACATTATATTAGCAACATGTTTAGAATATATTAGCAAAGGATTCTAATACAAGGTTAATTAAAATTCTACGCGATTTTGATCTAATCCTTTTCAAGCAACAGCAAGGTTTTTGCAACTAACCAATACCGAATCAGTGGAATAATCGACTAAACAAGGTTTCGATCGACTTATTCGGCGCGCAGCAATACAAAATTGAACGCGATAACGAGGGAACTCGTATGAGTTCGATCGTCTCGAACATTCTCGCGGTCACGAAAATCGGAAACGCGTTCGTAATTAATTCTATTCGTACATCGCTGCGAAATCGGCGGCTCACCCGAGGCAACGTTTTAATTAATTAGACTAATGGAATTTACATGCTGGAACGATAATGCGGACTACTGCACACTCGCGAAAGGACAGAACCTTGGGACAAATCGTGTAACGTGCGAGCGTGCTTAGTTTGCTTGTCGCGTGACATTAATTGCGTGTACATATGCGTGAAATGTGAAAAAATAGTGTAACGATCACAGAGAGGGAAAGGTAGAATGGAAACTAAGAGAATAGAAAAGAGTGTGAGAAAAAAGCAAGTGATCAGCAGAAGCTGTGTATCGTTATGTTGGATTCCTTTCTCTTTCCATGCTTCGCCATGCCAATCAACTCGAAGATTCTGTTTGCGATTAATTTTTCGCTCACCCTTTTGTGCAGCAACTCATTGTACTCCCATACGCGTTGATTCTGTCTGATAGCCGTGCCTCCACCACGGTCCACTTCTCTGCCGATTGGGCTCACCATTTTTCTTTCAACTGTAAAATATATTGCGAAAATAAGAATAACATTTAAGAAGTGTTTTTTATATGAGATTTGTCTTGAAGCAAATGATTTAAGATTTAAAATCACTTGGAATTATTTAAATCATGTCATGCGTAGAGGTTAGAAAATGCTTATAAATAGAGGTTAGAAACATTTTCAAATCGTTTTATATCTGTCGCTTTGTTGTAGAGTGGCATAAAGGAGTGGACATCTTTGGAATGAAGGAATTTTTTTTCATTAGATAGATTAAAGAAAATTAAATTTTCTTTGGTATCGTCGAATTCTATTATGCACAGGTATTTTTTTTCGAATTTATAAATAATATTTTACTCTTAGATCTTTCCAATGGATATTTCCAGAAGATTTTTAAAATAAAATAAATTTTTAATTTTGAATATATAAAGAAAGTTAAATAATATTTTATTTTCAGATTTTTTATTAAATTCAAATTTTCGATACATATTTTTCTATGGAGTAGCAGCGATATTTATCTTAAAGTTCACGATATTTAAAATTTCTTATAAAAAATATATTTTATATTACAGGCACATGTGAATATGACAGAAGTATCGATGATAAGAGATTTCCTTTAATCGTAAGTGAAACCTGCTAGACAGAAATATAGAAAGCGGCATTTATATGCACAGTGACAAAAATTCAATACGAGGCAAATATTGGCTCGATATCACTTAACCGCTTTTCGCATTTGAGCATTGACCATTTTCACTAATGTTTGCTCGATAAATTATTCAGTTATACGTGATACTGCATTAAGTATAACTAACATACTATATACGTACATATACATTTTATGTGCATTAATATAAAATTTCAACAGAAGAGCCGCAATACGATATTATAATATTTATTACGTCAATTTAAAAAATTTCTCAGAGGTTATGAATAAAACCAGATTAATTAAATCTCCAATTTTTCTCATCGCAAATGATAGAAACGAAACAATTATTATTAATAAACCAATTTAACCAAAGATTAAACTTATTTCTCACGAGACACGTACAACGGCAGTCCCGTTCTACCCATTTCTCTAATTCTCTGATATCCTTTAGCATCGAAAGAGGTTAGCGGTTTGCCCCAATGGTACGTGGGATTTCTATTATTCCTCGTGTCGCTTTGTGCACCTAGTCTTTCCCCGCGGATATCTGAATAATTAACCCCACAGACTTCCACCCTTCTTCTCTTTTCGAGAGAGTTCACCCTCTTCTGATATTAATTCCTCGAGTTCGGATTCAATTTGTGTGATTACCTTCTTTCGTCGTGCTTGCTTTTTATCCTCGCTCGAACAAAGATCGAGGACGCGAGCTTTCCGAAGAATTTTCGGGAAAGAGAATTTGAAATGTAATTTAATTCCAAACTATATTAGTGTTGCGACACGAATGATGGGGTCGGGGTATTTAGAGAGTAAATTTAGAGAGACTGAATGAACTTTACGCGAACGTTTGGGATAGAGATTCAATAGTTATTTGTGTTCGAATTAAGTCGAGGAAACGTATTAAGATGGAAATGTGGATGATAGTTTGAAGAAGGATTAAGATTTTAAAGATTGACAGATGTAAGTACGAGTTATTTAATCAAGATTTAGTATGAATATATTCCTAATTTTTAACTATATTAAATTATAACTATATTAAATAAACTATAATATTATTTAAACTATATTTGTGTTATTTTCAAATTCTTTTGTAAATTATCTCTATTTACAGCGTAGATATGTATGGATATATCTTCTTACTTGGACTGTGAACTCGTATGTCGCTGTCACTAGGGCTGGAGACTCGGTGGTCATTCATGGAAACGACCCTTAATGCCCCGGCCGGACTCATCAATCGTTGAGTTGCGTGTCCGCCCGGAGATGTTAACCTTATATCCTTTCCATCGTTGTTGGTGTTGTTCAACCTACAAAGTTTCGATATTAAGCGGATAGAATATTTTATCTCGTTCATTTTCTTCCTCCATTATTAATTAAATCTAAAATTTCTTGCTTAGTTATTGCAGAGAGATTTTCTTTCGATTTTTATCATATTTCGTTTATAATTCACTTTAACGTTATACGGGTATATTTTATATCGTGAAAAGTAATCGTAGCTGGATAAAACGATTAATCATTGAATATAATGGAATATAATGGAACAAAAGTACCGGAAGAGATAAAACGTTAAGAATGGGATTAAAGAAATTTATTCCCAGTTAAATTACTTAATTAATAAATGTCACAATTCGAAACATTTTTCGATATTCTATTGGGAAAGGTATATAATTGACTCTTTTTTTTATCGATATTATAATTATAGCGTTATTATTATAATTGATACGAGAGCAAGGAGAGATTCATCGTTCGAAATCGAGAAATATCTATTAATAAACTTGACGACAATGACTCGAAAATTTCCTCCCCCCTTCCTCATTTCAATTTCTATACCCTGTGAATGTTCTTTGGACAGAACAGTTTTTATCATGGAGGAACACGATCGAAGTGGAATTGCTGACGACGTTCGAAAGCATACGCTAGTTTCGAGTCCTCTACGTATCCAAGGTGTGAAACAGCCGGGGAAAATGTGTCACCGAGGGAATTCCAATGCCGACGCGACGCTTCTCGCCAAGAATGCTCTCGAATTCGTCCATGGTAAGCAGTTTCTCGCGTTGGAATTTTCAAACGTGTGCGCGAAAATGTTTCAAAAAGTCCTTTAACAACGTGACTTTTTAAGAAAGAAATTTTTAATTTTCATAGCTTGTGTGCATTTTTGTTAAAGATTCATTGCAGCAGAATATCGAATAGATCAAGAAACATTTTTTCTCGAAGCTACAATTATTGGCCACTAAATAAATATTGAATATTTAAAAAATGAAATGAAAATTCCCATATATCAGAAAGTGTATATATTCTCGATTAATCTAATTTTTTCTTATTCATTGAAAAACAGTTTTGGGACTCCGTTCTTCACATTTTTTTCTTTTCGAATGGCACTCTTTTTATCTTATAGAGAAAAGAAACAATTTTTTACCACTTACATCGTAGATCCGGTTCCAATGTCACCGTTGCTGGCGACTCGTAATAGCTGCGAATTGGCCATGTCGTTTTCCGATTGTCTGACCGATTGAGGGGTGGATTGGTGAAGGGGCAGGGGCTGCCTGTGCGTGGCATTGCTCCTCGGCAATGGAAGGGTGGACACCGTAGCCGGGGGTTGAGTTTGCGTTCTTTGAGCCAGTTGTGAAGTGCTGACAGCTCTCGGCGGAAGTGGATCCCTCCCTATCACCGATCCAGATCCGGACGCTGCGAATAAAACATTCCTCGTCATGAAACACTGCCCTCCTCTTCGACGTGCATCACGAGAATGAATTTTCAATGTTTATTTATTGAAATTGGAAAAAAAGAGGGGGAAGAGCATCCCATCAATATTTACGCGAATGTTCTTTTTTTTTTTTTTGTGAAAAAGTTAAACAAATTTTCAGCGAAATATCGAATGTTTTAACTAGAAAATGTGATTTAATTATTTTCGATATATTTTGAGAGTCGGTTGTTATTAAAATTACAGTTAAGAGAAATTAAGTTAAATTAAGATATTCGGTGATTTTCATAGGACGACGCATATTTTTTCCTAATATTTAAATGTTTAATTCATTTAAATGCTTCATATATAAAAATATCCTCCATCTGCTGTGTGAATGTTAAGAGAAATTAAATTAAAGTTAAAACGATATTCGGTGGTTTTCAACGTATATTTTTCCCAATATTTAAGTCACTTAATGTTACTTCATAGAAAATATCCTGCTAAGAATCAGAGTTGAAAGAGTATTCGTTTGCAAGGTTAAAGTACCGCGACATATTGAATATTAAAGGGATACAAGTT